GCGGCAGCGACGCCTGGAGCCAGGGCGGTGCCCCAGCCGACCTGGCGGCACCACAGACCCTGCTCGACGGCGCGGCAGCCGTGGAGGTTGTGCCCCTGGATACATCTGGATACAGAGCGCGCCACCCAAGTGGAGCTGGGCGGCCAGGCCCTGCCGGGGGTCTTGCTGCTCCCCCAGGATGGTGGTGAAAGGCCCCCAACCGCTGCCGTTGAGGCTCACGATGGTGGAGACGGGCTTGCTACCCCGGATTCCGTAATAAAGTCGGGGGGTCACATTTGGGGGGGGGTCTGATTTGAGCTGTCTTGGAGGGTTTGGGGGGGGTCTGGGCAAAGGGCCGCCCTTTCATGGATGGTCTGGGAGGGTCTAAAACTTTCCGTTTGGGAGGGTTGAGACCCCCTCCTTTTTATTACGAAATCTGGAGTACCCTCTCTCCCCCCGTCGCCGCAGCCCCTCGGAACGGAGGCCTGCGAGGAGCTTCTGGGTGCGGAGCTTTGCCTTTGAGCCGCTGCCTCTGCCGCGAGGTCCACGGCCAGAGAGCTGCGGCGCCGTCGGCGCCCCCGCCCGCGGCGGGGGTCTTCCTCCGCGGCCTCCTCCTCCGTGATGCTGTCGACGATGTTGCTCAGGAGGGAAAGAAACACACAGACACAATTGATTGGCGATTCTCCATAAAATATGGGAATCTATGGGAAGTGGGGGGGGAGACAAAAACCCGGAAAATATGGGGAGTCTCTTTATTTGTGTGTATTTGTTTGTGTGTCCTGGGGCCCATTCAATGATGCTGTCAACGATGTTGCCCAGGTCGGCCCCGTCCAGCTCGTGTTCATCGCCACTGGCGCCGTCGCGTTCCGCGGCAGCACCAGCCGAGGCGGCGCGTTCTGCCAGCCGTCGAAGTTCAGGGACTCGTTCCTCCCATCGAGCTGCGCACCCTGCGTTCAGCATACGTGATGCTTGGTCGAGCGCAGCCAAGAAGGCGGTGGCGCGCTCGCCCTCAGAGAGCTCGGTTGCCGGTACCGCGGCTGCTGCTCTTGCTGCTCCTGCCACGGGGCTTGCCAGCTGAAGGGCACCCTCCCGCTCCCGTCGGTGCCTGACCAGAAGGTTATCGATGAGGGCCTGGAGCTCGGTCTCCGTGGACTTCCTCTGGTCGCGTTTCCTTTCCAGCTAGAGCTTCTGCGCCTGGAGGTTCTCGATCTCCCGCGAGGTGGCCGAGATCTTGTGTTCCAGTGCCTCCGTTGTGCTCTGCTGGTTCTTCTGCTTGCGCTCGAGTTCGCTGGGCGGACGTGGGCTTCTCCTCGGAGAGTTCGTGTTCCAACTGCTGTGCCTCCCTTCGCATGGCACTGAGGATCTCATCCGTGCCATCCACACCTTCGGGCTTCTTGATTTTGCTCCGTAGCTTCCCAAGTCGCCGTACTCGCTCGTCCTTGCTCGGTGGTTGATGGCCGTCTCCGCCTCCGACGGCACCGCCACCACCACTTGCGGACTGAGTGACGCTCTCGAGCTTCTTGACCTTCCTGCGCAGTTGGTTGAGCTCGTGGCGTTCCTTGGAGTCCAGCTGTGACATGCCACTCCACCATGAACTTGCGCCAGATCCCTGCTCCCACCAATCATACCCGCAGCTCCGACACGTATGCCTGGAGCCCCAGTTCTTCTTGGCTCCGCACTGGGGGCAGCAGTCCCAGGCCTTGGGCTGGCTGCTGGTGCCGCCGCTACCGCCTCCGCCTGGCTTTCCCCCTCCGCGTCGTCCCCCGTTGCTGCCGCCTTTACCGCCGCCACCACGCGCGGCCCTTCGAGCACCACCTCCAGCTGCCATTGGTCGAGCCCGCGCAAGCTGGGCTCCCAATCGGGCGATTGGGGCCGGGTGTCGGAAAGGTTATGGATATGAAACAACCGTGGCCGCGAAGGCCTTGTTGAAAGCTTGGTCAATTGGAAGCTGGCCCAAGAACTGACGCGACGGCTAGAGCCAGCCACATGGGACCAGGCATTTGCCTTGATCGCATCATCTTGAGCCAAAATGGCTGATGATGATGGTGATGATCATGATGAGGATCAGGAGGAGGATGAGGATGATGATCATGATGATGCTAATGACCATCATGATGATGGTGATGATAATGCTGACGGTGATTATGATGATGGTGGTGATGATGATGACGATGATGCTGATGATGATGATGCTGATGCTGATGCTGATGCTGCTGCTGATGCTGATGCTGCTGATGATGAAAATGGTGATGGTGGTGGTGGTGATGGCGATGGTGATGGTGATGGTGATGGTGATGGTGGGGGTGATGGTGATGGTGATGGTGGTGGTGGTGGTGAGGAGGAGGAGGAGGAGGAGGAGCAGGAGCAGGAGCAGGAGCAGGGAAGGAGGGAGGGAAGGGCGAGGGAGGGAGGAGGAGGCCGCCCTCCTCTCTCACCCCTCCCCCGCCCAACTGTTGCCTCCTTCTCCTCCTCCTCATCATCATCCTCCCCCTTCTCCTCACCCTCTTTTTCCTCCTCCGCATCATCATCATCACCACCATCACCATCACCATCATCATCATCATCATCATCACCATCAGCAGCAGCAGCAGCATCATGATCAGCAGCAGCATCATCATCACCCTCATCATCCTCATCATCATCATCATCATCATCATCATCATCATCATCATCATCATCATCATCATCGCCATCATCACCACCATCATCACCCTCATCATCCCCCCTCGCCATCCGCATCCTCCTCCCCCCCCTCTTCCCCAGTCGGCGTTGAAGGCCCAGGCAATGTGAGCTCCGACGGAGTGAGGACTTTCACTGAAACCCACTCACACGACTTCCGCCCCACACATTCTCCAGTGACGGGCCAGAGACGGAGTGGGGGAGAGGAGGGACGACGGAGAATGAACAAAGCAATCCCTGCAGCCATTCCGATACCGTACCTTTTGCGATTTCTTCGCGCGTGACAGGGTCGCAATCTGGTGATGGAACTTTCTTGCGCCGCAATTTTCCGAAAGTCTATGGAGGATTGGAGTGTGACCTTGAAAAAACGACGAGGCGAAGACGAAGATAACGGATCCGCTGTACCCACGCTCGGAAATGCCAGGTGGCCAGGGTTCCTATGTGCGAACAATTGGTTGATCAAGTGCCGTCACTGGACAGCGGTTGCGAGAGGGAAGATGGCGGCCCCGAGGTTCGGAGGCAACCGGAGGGCGCAAATGAAAAACTTCGTAAACCCATAAACGAATCAGAACTCTGGGAACAGATGTTGCAGAAGATTGAAGACCAATTGCCCCAATGGAGTCCCATGCGGTCTTCTTTGCATTCATTTATTCGGCGGCGAGCGAAGATAGACGACAACGGTTCGAGGAAGATGGAAGCCCTGAGGTTCGGAGGTCATTGGCTGCGACCGATAAAGAACTTCAAAAACCCATAGACCCCTGCTCTTCAGGTGATGAGATTCTCATGCGCCGCATCTACCCAGATTCCGATGGAAGGTTTGGAGTGTTACCTTGAAGCAAACGAGGAGACAGAGGAGCAGAGGACGTTTTCATCCGTTTGGAAAATTTGGCAGTGGAGAAAGAAGGTCAACTGCGTCAGTGGAGCAAGAGCCAGAGGGAAGATGGAGGCCCCGAGGTTTGGAGGCCACTGGCCTCCGCCAGTGATGAACCTCGAAAACCCATGTTTCCTGTTGGCAAATCGGAACAAATTGCAGGACGTTCCTGGGGTGCTTCTGAACAGTGCAAGCTCCTCGCTTAGGGCGAAAGAAATTCAACAAAAGTTGCCCCCTTGTCTCGCACCGCAGGAAGTGAAGGACGCACTGACAGAATTAGAAGCATTGAGTTTCTTGACGAAGAATGGAGGGGCGAAGTCGAATTGAGCCCGGCAGAGATGATCCAGCTCAAGAATGCCATTTAAAACCAAGTCGAATAAGCTGAAGAAGTAAGTAATATAGTCTGCGACACAATGAAGAACAACTGTGGCACATTTGCTTCCGTGGTGGAAATTCAGGAAGAAGTGGCTTCCGGCATGCGCCGCACTGCTAATATTATTGAAGACGCCATTTCCGAGTGGGCATGATTGGGATTTGTTATCCAACTGGGAGCTAGGTACACATTCGCAGACAGATAATCACCTTGAACGGAGATGTTGTGCCAATTCTCTGCATGTGCCGCATGTCTCCCCAGATCTGAGGAAGTAAGTGTGACCTTGCAGAGGGGGGAACAGCAGAGGTCGCGCATCTCTCAGTGCGTTTGGCGCGGGAAGCATCTGTCTCGGCGCAGCGAGAGGGGGACTCTGTTCGAAGCGTGGGCACAGCAGGATGTAGGAATCTGGCTCAGACCCATCGGCAGGCGCTTGGCGTGCAGGGGCTTCCTGCATTATCCTCCCCCCTCACTCTCCCCTGCGTTGTCTCCCTGTCTCTCGTTCTCGGTCCATCTTCTGAATGTGCCGCATGTTTTCCCATATTTTCTGGCGTATTAGTGTGACCTTGCAGAGGGCGGAAAGAGGAGAGGCTGAGCATTTCCGAGCGCGCTTGCCGCGGGAAAACGAAATCTGAGCGCGTTTGGCGCGGGAAGCATTTGTCTCGGCGTACTGAGAGCAGAGAGCATGAGCGAGGACATCTCGGAGTGCTGGAGCTTCTGTGTTGATGGAGGGGGGGGCGGGTTTCTCGGAGCACAGGCGCTCTGGCTCACAAATTAAAGAAGGGCTTAGGGAACCCCCTACTTGGGAACCCAGGCCAGCAGCTGTTCCCATCGCGCTGACCCGAGGGACTCGTCTTAATCAGCGAGCTTCTCCTACGGGGCCACCTCGGAGCTCGCCCCGTTGAGTTTCGGGGTATGCCCCCTGCCCACCCCAGGAGAATTTTGTGGTGCGCGGCATACTACATAATCGCAGGGCATTTTGCTAGTCGCGCGCACAGCTCCTTCGTAGGTGTCGACGTAGACCCATTTATGCGGATGACCTGGCCTGGCCACCGTCCCCCCCCCCTCCCCCCATTCCTTCTCGCCATCCACATCCTCCCTCCGCTCCCTCATGATCCGCATCCTCCCCCCCTCCCCCCCCCCACCCCCGTCCATGGCTGACCGCAACGCCCCGCGCTGGGGGCGACCCCTGCGCGGCCCGCCACGCGGGGGGCGCGCCGGCCAGCTGCTGGCGCTGCCCGTGCTCGTCGCCGTGGCAGGCGGAGCGCACGGCCGGCGGCCGCCGCCGCCGCGCGGCCGCCGCCGCTGCGCGGCCGCGATCGGTCGATCGACCTTCGAGGGTCGAGGTTTTCACATGTTTTCGTTGGTTCCTGGGCGGTTTCTCGCCTCGGAATGCTCTCCAGCAGCTGCGCCTCGCCGAAAGAGTGCGGGCGTGCCGTGGCTGCCTGGATCGTCCTGGAGGGCCGCCGAGGTAGGGCCCGAAAACCAAGGGACAACGACAGGCCCTGAGATCTGGGCGTTGCAGTTTTTCACACCGAGCGTTTGCGCCCTGTCTCGGGTCGGGGCCCCATGACCATCACAGATCGATTCGATTCGAGAGACGCAGCAGAAACATTGGGCCAAGGCTCCCGTCGCGATTTTTCGCGATGTTGATTTTTTCTGCAACGTCGGACGTCGCCGTCGTCGATCGATCGGGGCTCGCAGGTCGAGGATCGTCGGCCGCCGCCGCGACGACGGCGACGGCGACAACAAGGTGCTTTAAGAACGACGACGGCGACGACGACGACGACGACGACGACGACGACAACAACAAATCGACGACGGCGACAACAAATCGACGACGACGACGACGAAGACGACGACGACGTCGACGGTGGCGGCGGCGGCCACGACGACGACGACGACGTCGACGGTGGCGGCGGCGGCGGCGGCCGTGCCGACGGCGGCGTCGCCGTCGCCGTCGGCCCCGTCGCAGGCAGGGCGCACGGCCGGCGGCTGCCGCCGCCGCCGCCGCCATCCGCCGCCGCCATCGCGACATCGCCGTTGTCAATCGATGGATCGAGCGAGCGGCCCACATCTCCTCCTCCTCCTCCTCCTCCTCCTCCTCCTCCTCCTCCTCCTCCTCCTCCTCCTCCTCCTCGTGCCTATGGGTTGTACAAATCAATGGCGGAGTTGTTTCGTCGGTCTCGGCGTCGGGGGGCCCTCGCAGGGGCCGGGGGGCCGTCAATCAGGAGGGGAAAAACCACACAGACACAATTCATCGGCGATTCCCAGAACGTATGGGAAGATATGGGAAGTAGGGGGGGAAGACAAAAACCCGGAAAATGTAGGACAATATGGGGAATAGTTTCGTTTGTGAATATCTATTTGTGTGTCCCAGTTCCCCTTCAGTCAAGAACGGTCCGGGGCGAAAAGCCGGTCCGCGGGAAGTGGTCCAGAGCTCCTGGAACCCGGCGTTGAAAAAATCAAGGCGTCGGAGGTTTGGGACCCCGCCCCTCCAAGTCCCGGTCATGTTTTTTGGGTGGAGGACAAAGGGTGAAATCTGCAATGCCGTTTCGATGGATTTCCGAGGTTCGAGAAATGCGAAAGGTGAATCACAAGACGGGTTGATATTCGAGGTGTAGAAGCCCATATGGATTTCACCCTGAGCCCTCCACCCTGAGAGAATGCTCAGAAGTCGATTAGGAAATTGCCTTGTCTTGGTTCTCGACAGGGCGTCGCCGATGAATCGAGAAACAACCCAGAGGATCGAAAGCCTCCAGTCTGGAGGTCGAACCGCCGCTCCAGGGGCAAGAACACTCCAGAAGATTGAGGGAAACTGCCTTCCGAATGGAGTTCGGACTTTTATTCCCCAAGCAGCGCTTGCACCCACAGGGGTTCTCACTTTGCCCGTGAGGGATTCGACGGGTCTGGCGAGGTGTCGCCACGTTGCCGCCTCGTTGCCGCCTCGTGCGCTGGGTGGGTCCGTCGAGGTTTCGCCACGCGGCCGCCACGTCGCCGCCTCGTCGCCGCCTCGTGCGGTGCGCTGGGTGTGTCCTGCGAGGTTTCGCCACGCTGCCGCCCGCTGCCGCCTCGTCGCCGCCATCGTGCGCTGGGTGGGTCCGTCGCGGTTTCGCCACGTTGCCGCCCGTTGCCGCCTGGTTGCCGCCTCGTCGCATCCTCGGGCGCTAGGTGGATCCTGCGAGGTTTCGCTACGTAGCCGCCCGCTTCCACCTCGTTGCCGCCTCGTCGCCGCCTCGTGCGCTGGGTGGGTTTGGCGAAGTTCTGCCACGTTGCCAGACCCACCCAGTTGCCGTTGCCATCGTCACGTCGCCGCCTGTTGCCGCCCGTTGCCGCCTGGTTGCCGCCTCATGCGCTGGGTAAGTCCTTCGTGGTGTCGCCACGGTGCCGCCCGATGCCACCTCGTTGCTGTATCGTGGTTTGGGTGGGTCCGGCGAGGCTTCGCCACGTTTGCGCCCGTTGCCGCCTCGTCGCCGCCTCGTGCGCTGGGTCCGGCGAGGTTTCGACATGTTGCCGCCCGCTGCCGCATCGTCACCGCTTCGTCACAGCCTCGTGCGCTGGGTGGGTCCTTCGTGGTTTCGGCACATACCGCCCGTTGCCACCTTGTTGCTGCCTTGTTGCCGCATCATGCGTTGTGTGGGTCTGGTGGGGTTTCGCCACGTCGCCGCTCGTTGCATCCTCGTCACAGCCACGTGCGCTGGGTGGTTCCGCCGAGGTTTCGCCACGTGGCCGCCAGTTGCCGTCTGGTTGCCGCCTCGTCGCCGCCTCGTGCGCTGGGTGAGTCCGGCGAAGCTTCGCCACGTGGCCGCCTGCTGCTGCCTCGCCGCCTCGTGCTCAGGGTGACGTGTGTTTGGCCAGGTTTGGCCACGTTGCCGCCCGTTGCCGCCTGGTTGCCGCCTCGTGCGCTGGGTGGGTCCTTTCTGTGGTTTCGCCACGTTGCAGCACGTTGCCACCTCGATGCCGCATCGTGTTCGCCTTGGCACGTGCATGAGCACGTATACACATCACATTCTGAATGAAGCCATGTAACGCGACGAAGCGATGTGGACGTGAACGAGACGACACATGAATGCGCACTAAACGCTCGCACATATCATGACTTCGTCAGTGCATTGCTGCGTGGGTTCTTCGTGCTTCAAATCGATGGGACCTTGTGCTGATCGTGCCGCGTCGCTGGTCAGTGCCCACCGCGCCTCGGCACGACACGCTCCACGTCCCCACTTCAAGCGTCGACGTCCCCAGCCCTTCCCCAGCCTCCAGCCCCGTGGAGCGGAGCGACACGCTTTTAGCTGCTTGCAGGGCATGGCGTGCCGCTGGGGCCACCGCCGCGACACGCTCAGCAAAAGCTCCCGACTGCGATGTCGCCATCGACGAGTCAGTGGGCAGTAATGTCTGCCCGAGGCGAGCTGCTGCCACCAGCGCAGCTTTTCTCGACTACGCCGGGTACGAGGTTATGGCAGCCGTGCAGGACGTCCAGCTACATGGTGTCAGGATACGGCCATCTGTCGAAGCGCTACCCTGGCACGCGAAGATTGTGGCAGGTTGCATCTCAGCCATGTTGACAGTGCCTACTGGTCGCGAGTGTGTGTTTGTAGTAAACTTGCGCAGCCACACGTCGCACATGTGTATGCTGATTGCCCAAACTTGTAGCCTTAAACTGCTTGCCTGCACCTTCTACCATTCCAGTAGGTTGGACTGGTCTGCTTTGAGCCGCCGCATCTGCAAGGGGGGAATAGGAGAGAAGGTGCATCATCCGCTCCGCCTTTCCCTCTACTGTTGTTCCTCGTCTTTTTCTTTTTCTCCTCCTCCTCCTCCTCCTCCTCCTCCTCAATATGATGGGTTTGCCTCTGGATTCTCTACCGCGCTGTGTTTTCTCGATGGCAGCTCCGCCCCAGAAAGGTTGGTGCACAACAGGGATGGGCATCTCGGTGGCGAGGCAGATGGGGATTGGACGTGACAAGAGGGGTGGAATGGAGAGGGATGGGGAGTGTGGCGTGGGGCGTGAGGCGTGAGATAGGAGATGCGATGGGAGGGGAGATGGGGATGGGATGGATCGGCGGGATGGGTGGGGGGGGGATGGGAGACGGGGGGCGGAAGTGCGGAAGCAGGACGGCGACTCGGGAGTGCGGTACGGGACGGGTGAGGACCGGCGCCCGGAAATCGGCGGCGCGCCGGGGGGGGGGGGAGCGAGAGAGGGGGCAGGCCTCCTGAGGGTGGCGTGGCCTCGGAGGAGGCTTGGTAGCAGGCTCCTCCGATCGACTACACGTAAGAGTGACCTTTCGCCGGAGTGACCTTTGGTGCGGGCCCAATGGGGTCCCCCGATCGCCGAGAGCGATGGGGCTGTAGCGTCTTGCGCGCTTGTGTTCGGCCCCCGCGCGGCCCCCCAAAAGCCGCGCACCAAAGGTCACTTCTACCCAGGGTCACTCTTGCGTGTAGCCGATCCGAAGACCAGAGGCCTTCTGAGAAGCCATGTAGCGAGGTCCTCGCCACATTGATCAGCCTGGTGAGCTTGCGAATAGCTTCGGGAGCCCAGCGTTTCGATAGCACGTCCGGGAAGAGTCGGCCAGCGGTGCCCCGCTCCATGCCTGGCGGAAGAAGAGGACCAGAGCTCGGCATCGCTCGGACGTGTGCTTTTTTTCCTTCGGCGAGGACCATCGAGGAGCATCCTTGAGCATCTGGCGAAGAAACCACGCACGAAACCGAACAAAAGCACAGGGAATGGACGTCCGAGCGATGGCCAGCTTCTGCCCTTTCGCCTCGGCGCGCCGCCGCCGGAGAGCACGGGCTGGGATGCGCAACGGGATGGGCAGCATGATCCGACCCCGATCGGTGAAGGTCCTCCTCCTGCTCTCCTGCTCCTCCCTCCTCCTCCCTCCTCCTCCTCCTCCTCGTCCTCCTCCTCCTCCTCCTCCTCCTCCTCCTCCTCCTCCTCCTACGTGAAGGTGGCCGCTCGCGCACTTTTTCCTTTTTTTTGCGGGGTGGAGCGTACAGTGAGCGGCTTGAATGAGGAACACTTGCTTTTCAAACGGGGCTCGGTCGTTCCTTAGGCTTGCATGCGTTATCTACAGTTCCTTGTGCGTTATGTATTAATTATCGTTCCTTATGCGTTATTCCTTGGGATAAAAGAGGGGCTTCGCTCCTTATTTATCGTTCCTTAGGTCAGGTCGATGACTGTAATCGGTGATGCCCGTGTCGGATGTCGTGTGCTGCGCTGGCCGTGCTTGTCTGCCCTGCGATGTGGCATTATGGCAGCACGGCGAGACGGCAGCGTTTGGGGACGCGTGTCGTTGGCGCGGTTCCTGCTCGACGCTCGCACCGTCGTGCGCAGCATGCGGCTTGCAGCATGATTAGCTGTTCTTGTTAAGCATGCTTCGTGCTTGAAATGTTCAGGGTTGCCATCAGCATGGCGCGCTGGACTCATTTGTCGCAGCACGGATGGTACATGGGATAACGTGTTCGGACCCGCGGCCGGGCTAGTATTTGCTGCATGCTTCCCGATGCGTGGAGACGATGCGGGCAAGCTCAGTATACCAGATGGTGCCCGTCGGAGCGATGGGCTTCCATTCACTCGAGCCCAGGTCAAGTCGCACGCGTAATTATAGCAGTTGTTGTTGCGTTCATGCCTTGGCAGCCGTTCTCTCTATTTGTTTCCCGCCGAGAGAGGGGGTTGTGCTGAGACCGTGTCCTCCTTGGGTGTCGCCCCTGGGTGTCATCCCTGGGATGTCCCCGCTGCGGTGTCCCCCCTGGGTGTCCTCGCAGGGTGTCCATCCTCCCTGGGTGTCCTCCCTGGGGGGTCCTCCCAGGGTGTTCTCCATGGGTGCCCTCCTGAGTGTGTACCCTGGGAGTCCTCCCTGGGTGTCCTTCCCGCGGGGGAGGTGTGAGGGAGAGAAACAAATACAGCAACACACACTGATGGTTTGTGCGTTTGTTTCAAGATTTTGTTCACCCCTCCCCCACCCCCACCCACCACCACCAGAACCGCCACCATCGACCCACGAACATACACACACACACACACACAAACACCATACGCACGCACGCACGAACGTACGCGCGCGCACGCACGCACGCACGCACAAACACACGCACACGCACACGCACACGCACACACGCATAGACACACACGCACACACGCACACACGGACGCACGCACGCACGCACGCACGCACGCGCACGCGCGCACACGCCAGCCCTCCCCAGGTCTAGTGCACTCCCGTGTATTGATTGGCCCCTATCATTACAGCACGTTCGCGGTCATCAATCCAAGCCACCAAGCAGCAAAGAAGCCAATCAAACCTTAACAGTCCCATCGTTGATTACCGTTCGTGTGTAGAAAGGATACATGAACTGTAGAATCCCCGGATCCCCTGGGGCGAATTATTGCTAATTAGTTTTTTGCAGCACCCCGGGACCCCCTGGGACACCCTGGGGACCTGCGAATTCGTAGCATGCTTCGAGCGAAATGACCCCCGGGGGATTCAAGTGTGAAGGAATGGTCCCGGCCGCCCGGGAAGTCGACCCCCTGGAGGGGGATCCCCTGGACCCCTTGGGCAGTGAATTCATAGAATTTATTGTCCAGTCCTTGACAATGGATTTCGTACTGAGTCGTAAGTAACTTGTTTCTCTCCGCGCTGGTGGGGTGCCTAGACAATTTCGTTGCTCGTGATGATAGGAGCAGGAAGGCACAATCCAGCGTGGTCCACCATGGGAGATGGGACAGAGAGCAGAATCTGCTCCCTTGTCTATATTCTTTCATGGGGGGGGGAGAGCCCCCCCCCTCAGAAAAATGTGCCCCCCTGGATCCGTGGCCCCGGGGGGTCCACAGGACGTCCCTGCAGGATGCCCCCCTGGTCTTTCCAGCGGAACAGGCCCAAATCGGGCAGGAGGGGCCGAACGGCCCCCCGAAGGCCCCAAAGAGGCACCAGACACCCACCAGACGCCCGAAGACGACCGAAAGAAGACACCCAAGAGACCTTCGCACGCAAAACACATTGTTTCCCCATTTTTTTTTTTTTGTTTTGAAACATTTGGGGAATGCTGTGTTCTTTGGTCTCCCGGGCGTCCGAGACCGACCAAAAAGCCGGAAAATCTTGCAAAAACGATGCGAGAGGGCATCCAGGCAGTCCAGGAGAGCATCAGAACGGCACAGCAGGGCCCCAAGACGGCCCGAAGAGAGCTCCATGGCGGCCCAAGATGGCCCCAAGACGCCCTCCGAAGCATTCCAAATCGTGACCTGCTCGTTCAGGGAGACCGCGGTTGGAAGCAGGGTGGCCCGAGGAAGCCCCCCAGAGGCCCCCAGAAAGCGCCCCAGAGGCCCCCAGAGGTTCCCACGAAAGTTTGTAAGGGCTACTTGGGGCCTTCTGGAGGCCTCCTGGGCGCTTCCCGGGGGCACTTCAGGGTTTCATCGGGCCACCCACCCTGCTTCCAAGCGCGGTCTCCCTGAACGACAGAGTCGTCACGACTTGGAATTATGATTCGGAGGGCCTCTCGGGCCCGGGCCACTCTTCGGGCCATCTTGGGGCGCTGTTGTGCCGTCTTGGGGCGTTCGTGGACTGCCTGGAAGCCCTTTCGGGTAATCGTTCTGCGATTCTCTGTGCCCCTGGGCGGTCTCAGACGCCCAGAAGACAGAAGAACACATCCCCCACTGGAAAGGCAACGTTTTCTTCTGCCTTTCGAAGGTCTCCTGGGGTGTCTTCCTTCGGTCGCCTTCGGCGTCTGGTGGGTGTCTGGGGCCTCTTCGGGCCCTCGGGGGGTCGGCTCGGCCGCCGGACCGATTGGGGCCCGCTGCCCAGGCCCGGCAGGGGGCTCCCAGGAGCTCCGGGGAGCGCGGGGGACCTGCGGGGACGTCCAGGGGCTACCCGGGGCCACGCATTGGGGGGTCTCTGTTTGTGTTGGGGGGGGTCCCCCCCCCGCTTGCAAAAAGCATAGGGGGAGGAATCTTATAGATGTACATACATAGACATATATATATATATATATATATAGAGAGAGAGAGAGAGAGAGAGAGAGAGCGAGAGAGAGAAAGAGAGAAAGGGAGGGACGGAGAGGGACCAAGAGAGAAAGAGAGAGGGAGGGAGGGAAAGAGGGAGGGAGGAAGGGAGGAAGAAAGGAAGGAAGGAAGGACCAAGGAGCGGGGAGGAGGGTTGAAATATAAAATGATGAGTCGCGGGGAGACGGCATCCGCGCCTTGGGAAGAGTTCCCGCGGCTTGGCTTTTACTTCAGAGCGCCTTTGCCTGCCTGCAGCTTGCGCGAGCGCCTCTCCCCAGGAGAAACCGAGCCCCCCAAGGGGGGCCGCGTCCGCCTCCTCATCCTACTCTGTCCTCCTCCCCCATCGTCCTCCATCGCCTCCTACCTCTTCCTCCACCTGCCTCTCCGTCTTTTCGTGTCTTCTCCTTGCTCTTGGTCCTTTCCCGCCTCTCGGCGCGTAGGCTTGTGTTTATCCTCTGGCATCATTGCCCACTGGACTGACAGACACTTATGGCCGCGCAGGCACGTGCGCCCCCCTTGTCGTGGTTATTAATGCGGCAGCTCACGGCAGAGCGCCGCACTCGCAGCTCGCATTGCCAAGCTCACTGGAACAGTTGAAGTCGTGCCAGTCTCCTCCAGCTCTCGTGTCTGCCGCGGAAGCATGTCGCATCGGATTTGGCCACGCTTCCGAGCCGAGGATGCGCTGAGCGCTGGGCTCGCCTGCTCGGCGCCCGCTCTGCCGTACCTCGGAACGCCGTGGACGAGCTGACCTCGTGGGCGGAGACGCTGCTAAAGGACCGCCGTGTGTGCAGCCCGGTCTGTTGCGCACCCATCCATGCCATCCAAATGGGGTCCGAGTAACTAGATTCACCACCCACCAAACCACTCCAACCCAACCCGAAGGCTCGGATTCACCCTCGATTTCCAGTGGGGGGGTGTCGGGAAACATCGAAAAAACACATGTGGAACCCTTACCCCCCCAACCCGAAATTCGGGTCTTCGGGTTGGGTTGGGGTGGTCTGGTAGGTAGTCATAGATGGGGTCGGAGGATGGTGCCGCATCGTCGACGCATCGGCGTTGCGGCTCGATGTGGAGGCCGATGGCGTCGATGCATCGCCGACGTCGCCAATGCGCTGCCAATACATCAGCGATGCATCGGCGACGCGGCGCGATCCTCCAACCCTTATCTATACCCGGCCTCCATTTTGGGAGGCCTCCAATCCACCGGCTGACCACGTCTTTGCATCCATGATGCCCCGCCACGATAGCTGATGATAGTTTCTGCGGCGTTGTCGCACTTTGTCTTACGCCCCCCGGATCCATTGCTTGTTCCCATCCGCCAGGCTGGGCCCAAGCGTGCGCAAACTTGCTTTAGTTTCTCCACCCACGGGGTGAAGCAGAGCCCATGGGTGCGTGCCGTATTGGATCAGGAGGGAAAGAAACACACAGACACCATTAATCATCATTAATCGTCGATTCCCCAGAAAGTATGGGAAAATATGGGAAGTGGGGGGGAAGACAAAAACCCAGAAAATATGGGAAAATATGGGGAATCTGGTGATTTGTGTTTATTTATTTGTGTGTCCCAGTTCCCCTTTATTGGATCATGTTGTGGGAATTGGGTGATCGTGTGAGCCGGCCGTGGTGGAAACCAGGTCGCGCTGGTTGCAGATACACGGTTTGCTTGGCGGCGTTCTCTACGCGACATCATGTAATTCGCGTCGTCGCAGCACGTCAAGCGGGGAGCAAACGGGCTCTGTCTCACCCTCCAGGGTCCATTCTTTTTCGATCAATCAGATCCGACTTGGACTACAGCCGGTCCGATCCGATTCGACATTGATCTCTCGACGATCCGAAGCGTGCTTTCGTTTGCGCAGCGCAGTTGTGTATCTTGGTGCGTTGCCAAAAGATGAATGGTTTTGGGCCTTTCACATTCCAGCGCAGCTTTGAGGAATTCCACCTTCTCGTGCGAAGCCTGGCATTTCTTGCGAGGCCTGTCCAGAGGATCCCAGATTTCCATTTCGCACGTCGACGTTCCACGTGAGATGAGAAACGTTCCAAACTGGCAACAAACCTGTCAGAATGGATTGCCAACCTCTATTTGGGAGGTTGGTTTGGGGTCATTTAGGTGTGTGGGGGGAGGGGAGGGGGCGGCGAGACCCAGGTGTGGAGGAGAAGCGTGCCGGCTGTCCCGACGAAGCTTGCCAGTGGAGTGAGGGCCGCGCCATTCCGGCGTCGTGATTTGCCCTTGCGCTGGGCGGTAATTAGGGGAACGAACAATGACACAAACATAAAATCTCAGAGGTCCGCGCGGATTTCTCGTATCGGCGCTGGGGCCCCCCGGCGGCGCCTCCGGCGCCGCACCTGGCGCGCTCCGCGCGCCAGGGAGGGGGGTCCAACGCCGATCCGAGAAATCCGCGCGGACCTCCGAGTTTTATGTTTATGTGACTTTTTGTGACTTTTCGTTCCCCTATTTACCCTTGCACTGGGTGGTAATGTTGCACAGTCGGCAGCAGCAAATCATGTGTCAAGCTCCCGGCAGAAGGGTCCGCAGCCAGTTCGGATCAAGCGATTTTGACTCAGGCCGTTGCGGTTGCTTGGAAGGTTGGGTCGTAATTCGCGTGTACCCATGTCTCCAGGGGCGTGATAAACGGCGGCTCATTCATTATGATTCGCTTTCGCAGCTTGCTGCCACGAAGCTTGCATGTCTGTATGGTGCAGCACTATCGTGAAACATTGACAACCTATCGATCCTGCAACACAGCTCGTGATATTGATTCCACATGGTGCGAGGATGACAGCAAGGTCAACCATGTTGAAATCAAGTTTTGTCCAGCCGAAGTCCAGCCTTGTTCAGCGTTATTGACAACTATTATGCATTCATTCGTTGTGGCCACAGATGACCACGGCAGGAAAATAGAGCACCATTTTGGTGCGGACTGTAGTGGTCACACGTATTATGAAGCCATGGTTTATCGCGTGCGGCCAGGAGAGTTTTCCGTATTCAATTCGAATATGTTTTATTCCACTTATTACAAGCCTGTCCCGTGCTCAACATCTCATGGATCGATCGCACGAGCCTTACTGTCCAAAGGTAGGTATATAATAGGCTGGAATGATTGCAACACTGCGTCTCGTCGCGCATATGACATAGCTGTGACAGAAGGGTGCGATCGCCACAGTGACGCCACGCAGTCCAAGGAATTCAACCACATCAAAGTGACATTTAGCAAGTGGCCCAGATCCATGGGCCCCAGGCTGTCGATATCTTCCGGGGAGGTATTGAAGCGCGCTACGAATGCATGCGCGCAAAGTAAAACGGCTGCCATGCTGGGAGACACCTGGAAAGGCGCAGGTCTATTCCTCTTTCTCTTCTCCTCCCTTGCTCCTCTCCTCTGGGATCTCGTGCCTGGCTGCCTGAGCCCACGGCGGGGATAGTTGCGCACGTCTCTTTTCGCTGTGTCCCGCAGGTCGCGGTGCATCGTGTGAGCTGGCTTGTTGCAGGTTGGTTTGTGCAAGGTTCCCGCTTCGCCTGGCGATCCTCTCTAAGTGTTGTTCCCCTTCCTCCTCTCCCCCCCCCCGCCGGCACGCGAGCAGAGTTTGGCAAACCATGCTGCCCATTCTTCGCCCTATGGCTCCTCTCAAGTGTTTCCCACCATGGTCCACAGTTCCAGTGGTGTAGTGCGGCCTCTCCCGCTGTGTCCGCGCACGCGTGAGACAGTCGTCGGGGTTTTGCGCTGCCCCCCCATCGCCTCGCCATCCTTCTCCGGAGGAGTGCCGAAGAAAAGTACAGCCAGACGCATCGGCTCGCCTCATTTGTCATGTGCATGTGCACGCGGGTGTTTACAGCGCCGTTGCGAAAGTTTTCAGGCAATCTCATCGCGCGATGACTACGACACTGTGAAGTAGGCGGAGTGGTATCGAAGACGCTTACCGCGAGTCACAGCCGCCCACTTGCCTCTTGGACACGCCCACACGGCCAAACGTTGAGCCGAAGTCTGGCCAAGCTATTACAGTATTTGTTCCCCCCTGCCGTTGGGGAACCCTGTGGGGGAACACTTGCGAGAGGAACCAGGAGGAGGAGAAGGAGGAGGAGGAGGAGGAGGACTAGGAGGAGGATGAGGAGGAGGAGGAGGAGGAGGAGGAGGAGGAGGAGAAGGAGGAGGAGGAGGAGGAGGAGGAGGAGGAGCAGGAAGAGGAGGAGGAGGAGCAGGAGGAGGAGGAGGAGGAGCAGGAGGAGGCGGAGGAGGAGGAGGAGGAGGAAGAAGAAGAAGAAGAGGACGCCTCTTGACGCAACCTTTTGGGCCTTCTGGGGGATTCAGGGGAACCTATTGGGGGCCTCGGAGGACCTCTAGGGGGCCTCTTGGGACCTCGGGGGGCCTTTCAGGGACCTCTTGGCCTTCGGGGGCCGTCTTGGGGCCCTCTCTGGGCAGTCGTGGGTCCCTCTTTGGGCGCTTCAGGACTGTCTTGGAGTCTTGGAGGTCTTTGGCAGTCTTGGGGAGATGTTTTGTGGGCGTTGTGGTCCTTACGGGTCTTTCCGCATGGTTGGCGGGATGGGCCGAGACCCGATGGGGAACCTTCAACAACAGCGAACCATTATAAATATTGGCACGCCGTGCACCCTGGTGACAAGCCGCAGAGGGCGGCAGATCGAAGACGCCTGCGGCGAATCACCGCCGCCCCCTGCCGTGTGGAAGGCGCCTATGTGGCCGAACGTCGCGGCCAGAGCTCCGCCAAGCTATCGGACTACGTGTTCCCCCAGTCGTTGTGGAAACCGTGTGGGGAACATGTGGGGGAGAAAGAAGAGGAGGAGAGGGAGGAAAAAGGAGGAAACGGAGGAGAGGGAGGAAGAAGAAGGAGGAGGAGGAGGAGGAGGAGGAGGAGGAGGAGGTTTCTTGGGGCACCCTTGGGCACTCTCGGAGCCTCCTGTGAGGTTCCTGGGAGGTTTCTTGAGGGCCTTAATGGGAGGCTTTCTTGTGCCTCTTGAGGGCCTCTGGAGGTCTCTTGGGAGGCTCTTTGGCCGTCTGAGGGTGTTCCTGACACGTCTGAAGCCGTCGGGAACCGTCTCAGAGTCCTCTCAGGGCCGACTTGGGGCCCTTTGGGGGCGCTTCTTGGGGGCCTCTTGGGCCGTCAGTGGGCCATCTTGGAGGCCTCTTGGGCACTTTGGGGGCCATGTTGGTGGCCTCCGGGGCCACCTTGGCCCGTCGGAAAGCCGAAAATGAGCAAACGCCCGAATCCGTCAAAACTGTTGGTAAATCAATGATTTTGGCATCTGCGGGCCTTCCTGGCGGTCCCCTTGGAGGCCTCTTGGGCCGTCTTGGAGGCCTCTTGGGCGACCTTGAGGCCATTTTGGCCCATCCTGGGGGCATCTCGGCCCGTAGTGCCCTTCGGCCCATCCCGCCACTGCGCCTGGGTTGTAGGTCAGGTGCCCGTGCGGAGGCCTCTCGTAAGCGTCTTGGTGGCGGTTTTGGGGGGCCGTGGAGCCTCGCGGGGGCCTCTTGGGGGACTATCGGGGCCTCTTGGGGACCACCTGGGGCTTCTCGGGGGCATCTTACAGGCCTGCCGACTGATTGTTTCGGGAGCCATCAGTGCGCGGATTTGTCAGTTCGAGTTCTCCCTTCTGGGGGTCTCTTGGGCCGTCTTGAGGGCCGCTTGGGCCTTCTTGAGGCTCTTGGACCGTCTTGGGGCCCTTTGGGGGGCCTTTTGGGGCGGTCTTGGGGTTGGCCACCTGGGAGCGTCTGAAGCCCGAAAAGGCGAGAACGCTAAAATCCTTAAAACATCGTTGGAAGACATTTGCTTTTGCCTCTTGGGGCTTTCTTGGGGGGCCTCTTGGAGCCCTCTTGGGGCGTCGTGGGGGCCTCTTGAGCAGTCTTCGAGCCATCTTGGGCGTTCCGGAGCGCTCTTGGGCCGTCTCGGGGCCATCTTGGACCGTCTTGGGGGCCTTTTGGGGGCCCTCCTGGCCCGTCTTGGGGACCCCTGGCATCTGCTGCGCGCCGTCAAGAAGCGAAGCAACAACGCAACGACCTAACTTACGGCCTCAGAGGGAGCCACAGCGACTGGGGCGCGCACACAGTGGGCTCCCGCAAAACGTATGATATTTGTCGGTGCAGGGGACCTCGAGGACCTGAGGTCAGTACACTTCGCGCTTCGGGGCGCGGCGGCGCACCTGCGCCGCGTGGAGGCGCATCCCGCGCGATGGGCTGCACGGCCTGGCGCAGAAGTGGTCTAGGTTCCGCTCGATCGACAGAGTCAAACCACCGCAGGGGCCAACAGTATTCCGACGAACACCGCGAGCCGAAAGTCATGTTAGGGATATTGAGAGGAATCGGTGGGTCATCCATCGGTGATGGAAACCTTCAGCACGGTGGTGTATCATTACAGACAGACTTTCAAACGTTTCATCCACCATTGTGCTGAAAAAAGCGCCGCGCAGGCTTCTCGCCATAGAAGCGGCTCTCGTCAGAGCACGTTCAGGGCCTGTTGGGATTTACACGTTGTGCTGTCGCTGTTTGTCTCATCCGTGACATGATTTCGTCGCTAAGGCGCATGCTTCTTCTGGGAGTCGCGGTCTCGTTTCACATTGGAACAAATCTCCGCCGCCAGGACTGGGACGACAAGGACCGTGCCAACAGGAGCTGGCTTCGGGAAAGATCGAAAGCACGTCGGGGATGCAACGGGACACTCGGGGAGCAGCAGGAAGAGAACTGAACGAGACAGGGAACAGGAAGGAGGAGGAGGAGGAGGAGGAGGTGGAGGAGGAGGAGGAGGAGGAGGAGGAGGAGGATGAGGAAAAGGAGGAGGAGGAGGTGGAGGAGGAAGAAAACGAAGAGGAGAGCAGGAGGAGGAGGAAGAGGAGGAGGAGGAGGAGGAGGAGGAGGGAGGAGGAGAGGTGGAGGCGGGGGAAGGAGGAGAGGAGGAGGAGGAGGGAGGAGGAGGAGGAGGAGGAGGAGGAGGAGGAGGTGGGGCGAGGAGAAGGAGGAGGCGGGGAAGGAGTGGCCGTGTGCTGTTCAGCGACGAGATGGAAAGCCGACGGTCCAGGCCGATCCGATCTCGCGCCGCAGCGATTGCGCACGCTCGAGTCGCAGGCTAGTTGGCCTCCTCCGCCTCCTGCCCAGAGGATCGAACGCCTCCGTGAACGGAGGCTCGACCTCCATCCTGGAGGCCTTCCCATCCCTTCTGGGGGCTCCCACTGCACAGCCGGAACGGAGGCTCTGCTTCCACGGAGGCCTTCGGTCCTCCTGGTGGTCCCGTCTCGCCCGCCAGAGGACCGAGGACGGCTGGGCGACGTCCAGAGACCTTGGTCCTCGGTCTCCCCCAGGGGATCGACAACCGCAAGTCTGGAGGTCGAGCCTCCGCTTCGGGGAAGAAAAAAACGCCTCCGGAAGGGAGGGGCGGAAGCGCCGCCCGAGCGGAGGCCGAGCCTCCGTTGGAGGGCCGCTGTCAGTGCCCGACGTGTGGCCACAGCCTCCTCTCGGAGCTCGATTCTCCAGCAGCCCCTGGGGGTCTGTGCACGGTAACCTTAGGGGGCCACATGCGAACCCTACCCCTGCCCCCCACGATTTCTGAGGGGGAGGGTGGGGTTCATTTCGTTCGGGAGGTCCCGAGCGAAGTGAACCCCACCCTCCTCCTCTGAAATCGTGGGGGGGTGGGGTAGGGTTCGCATGTGCCCCCCTAAACCTGTTCCTTCCCGTGGGGCCGAGAATCTGCCCCTTCACGCCTCGAAGCCGTCTGACGGCAGGTGCTTGGAGAAGCGGAAGCGGCACGACGGTGAAGAACAGCCCTGGCCCTGGAGCGGTTGCCCCAGCTCCCCTTCGTGATTCGGCCCTCCACCCTGGCATGCCGGCATGCCCGTCGCCCGGGGCATCTTCATGGGGCCTGTGGCCCTCGACGAAGGGGCTCGTGTCCCCGGCCCACTCTCTCGTGGCCTGGCCGCGATGGCACGGTAGGTTCGTCCAGCGTTGGCGCGCCGGCGACGCCGGCGAAAGCGTTCGCGGTTGAAATTTTGCGGCGCGGAAGCACCGAGGGACACGGTAACGCTATTGGACCAGGCGGAATTCAGCTTTGAACGATCGGGGCCTCCATCGGTTCAAGGCTGAACGATCGGCGCGGCGTCGGAAACCTTTGCGCGCGCCGACGCCGCACGAACCTAGAATGCTTTTCCCTATCTCCATCGATCTGGGGCGGTTCGGCCGCGTCTCCAGATGCCCCCTCGGGGGCGGCCTCGCCCCTATCTGCTCGGAGGAGGAGGAGGGGGAGGAGGCGGTGGATGATGCTGATGATTGTGATTGTGATGATGATGCTGATGATGATGAGGAGGAGGAGGAGGAGGAGGAGGAGGAGGAGGAGGAGAGAGGAGGAGAAGAAGAACTGACGCCTGACGCCCGCTGCGCCTGCGGCTTGCCCGAGAAGAAGAACAGGTGGAACGGCAGGACGAGGAGCAGCAGCAGCAGCAGCAGCAGCATCAGCAACAACACTGGGGGCGCGCGACCAGCGACAGGGTCGCCGCAGCCGCAGGGTGATGGCATACTTGTGATGCGTGATTCGGACTGTGATGTGCGTTTCGGTCTTGTGGCAGCAGCAGCAGCAGCAGCAGCAGCAGCAGCAGTAGCGTGAGCAGAGGACGATCTCGTTCCATCGTGCCCTCGCCGCGGAGCCAGCCATGCAGCTCCAGGGCCTCTGGACCTCTTGCGAAACCTCAGCGGACCAGAGCCACAAGCAAGAGACTTGTTTTTTGGGGATCCCCTGGCGATGCGGGCGTGCCCCAGGGGGGGGAGGGGTGGGGGGGAGGGTCACGTCGCGATTCGCGTTGGCGCCGTTCAGGAATGTCGGGGGATGCTCCAGAATGGCTCATTCCGAGACGGCGCCAGCGCGAATCGTGACGTGACCAGGGGGGTGGGGGAGGGGCAAGGCGGGGCCGGTGACGGGCGCTACTGCAAAACAAGTGCCAAAATGGGCTCCAATAGGCAATAGGAAGGGCTTGCCAGCTTTCCCCCGCAGCTTCCCCTTCAGACCTGACGGGGCCAGGACGGATAATAAAGGTGAACCCCCTTTTCACCGCTCTATCTGATTATCCACGGGGTGTATGTGGGTTCAAATTGTCACAAGAGGCGCGGGGGGCGAACTCTGGGCGAACTTTATCATCACCCCCAAAGTTCGCACCGTCGCTCTGATCATCATCTCATTCGCTGAAATATCCTCCTCTTCCTCCTTCTCCTCCTCCCTCCCCTCGTCCTATCCCTCCTCTTCTGTGACTGCACTCCTCCTCTCCTTCCTCCCTCCGTGCCCCGTCCGAACTTTTTGATCACCGCCTTTTGTACCATCGGCAAACAGCAACCATGAGCACTCCTACACGAGGAGTAGGAAACCACCACGAACCTTTACACATCTATTGATAGGCCCGAAAGTTTGAGTTTGATAGGCCCAGGAGTTTGAGAGAATTCGTGCTCGCCCAATTCCTTCAAACAAGCTCCAGGGGAAGGCTTCTCCGGATCATCTTGGAGGTCATACAAGACCGATCCAGATATCTCAACATCGATATCTAACATGATTATCCTCCCAGGGCCCCGAACTTTATTATCCCCAGGGTGCGATTCTCACCAGCACAGGGTTAAATCCGTGCAGGAGCGTTCTGGA